CAAACTCTTGGATCGTATATAAGATTTCCAATTGAGGTTTGACGTGAGCTTGAATCCCAATGTACGTTCCATGCAAGAATCTTCATTGATAGTAGAACCGTTCCTCATGAAAATTCAGAGTTTGCCCTTTGACGATGTAACATGACTAGTTTGGATTTGGAGCTATTCAACGTTACAAGCCAATATTCTACTCCATAAAGCTGTGCGAGCAAAATCAGAGTCTAGATCAGCTGTCAGGCTCCGGTTATCTAGATTTTGGTTGTGCGCGCGCAAACACGCACACACGCGCAAACACGCACACACGCGTAAACACGCACACACGCGCAAACACACACGCGCAAACATATATATATATATATATATATATATATATATATATATATATATATATATATATATATATATATACCAGATAGAGAGAGAGAGAGAGAGAGAGAACACACACACACACGCGCAAACATTATATATATATATATATATATATATATATATATATACCAGAGAGAGAGAGAGAGAGAGAGAGGGAGAAGGCACACACGCGCAAACATATATATATATATATATATATATATATATATATATATATATATATATATGAGAGGGAGAGAGAGAGGGGAGACAGAGAATCATTCCATGTCAAATTAAGGATCTGATCTATCACCGACACAGATATCTTTTTAAAATTCTATACTTACAGAGCTTTATCATACAATTTGAATGGTGCCTATTAAAGGGTCATAAACCACAGGACCCTTGACCTAGAGATGCAAAACAGGCACCATTGAAATTCTAAGGATGAAGATCTCACAGTACTCAATTTTGAAAATTTGCACGTCGGTGATTGTCAGAGACTCGTTGATTTTCATATATATATATATATATATATATATATATATATATATATATATATATATATGCAAAATAATGAACTGAGAATTTTCATCGACAGATTATTAATATATAGCAGAAAAAGGGTAAGACCGAGGAGTGAGCCTTGTGGGATATCTACCTTGATCAGGGAGAAGGGCAGAGCTTTGTGAATTCTTGCAAGGTGTATGGAACGCAACATTAAACCGACCTTTTGCCGTATCTGCCTTCTTGGTGAAGGCCGATGAATTCAATTTCAGTTTACATTTATTTCATTTTTGCATCCTTCCCAGATGTTCTCTGTCCCTTAAATAAATACGAGGGAGAAACCAAATTGTTATTTTCAGTGTGATACCTAACCTTTCGATTTATTACTGTTCTGTGAGTTACACTATCACTATAATCTCTATTGTCTTAATCACTATATATCATCGTTTTTATCCTTACTCAGCCGAAGCTTTATCGTTATCAACGTTATCCTTTTCATCATTATCATCATGATGGAGTAAACAACCATTAGCACCTGCATTATGCCAAGATAGTCCACCTTTTACCAGATACAAAGGTAGCTACACAATTCTTCCTGACATGAAAAATATCACTATTTTCTTTATAGCGATTTACTAAGCGTAGTTTCGATGCGGCACAAGGCCGAATGTATGGAGCACCCAATGAAGATTGAAATCCCTACTCAGTCGTAATTTATCTAGCGAGATAAGCTTTCTAATCGCTACACCATGTCGATGTGCCTCAATAAATAGAGATTATTTATTAAGCGTAGCTTAGATGTGACATAAGACCTAAAGCATGGGGTGAGAATCGAACTCACTACGCAGTTGTAATTGAACTAACAAGACAACCTCGTTGACCATTACACCACTTTGAAGAGCTCAATATGGCAATTTTCTAAGCGTAGCTTTGATGTGGCACAGGGCCGAAAGTATGGCACAACCATCGAGGATTAGACTGACTATTCCGGCGTATTCAATGAGATAAGCTTGCTAACCATTGCAACATATCGAAATGCCCCACTATTTTCTTTATAGCCTGTATTATTTCTCCCCATCGTCATAGTTTAACAGCGGCTATCACTGAGGGTAGTGTAACGATTTCAGCGCTGAGAATGGAATTAGAGATCCAAGTTCAAGTTCCGACCAAATCTGCTGACTTCACTTTCGCAGAAATCTCATTGAGAAAGGCATGGAACTATGTCTGCACACCCACCCAGCTCTCATCGCAGTTATATGTCAAATAGCAGGGTAGCCTTGGGTAGCTGCTAGTCGAGGTGATCGACAACTCTGAATCCAAGATCGCAGAAGAAGATGAAAGGAATAATTTCTAACATCTCTTCCAAGAAATCGCAGCAGTTTACAGATAATAAAGAAAAAGAATTCTGTCACGAGCAATGATCTTTAACATCCTGAAGAAATATGACATTAAAATAACATTGTTACCAACATTCCATAATTTTTTGTGTAATCATTTCACATCATGCAAAGCCACAAAGACGCAAGGGGTTACTGAGTGTAAAATAATATAAGAAAAAAATCATTATTAAGGAGAGAGAACAATAAAAGAACAGAAATTGATAAGACAAAAGAAAACGATTGACACTGCATTTAAATTTTTGAACATCAAACTTGACTGGAAAGAAAGGAACCGGAAGAGAATTCCACAAGCGGAAGAAGAAACTGTTAGCATAGGACTTTCGGCTACATCTAGAAATTTCAAACGCAAAATGATGAGATTTTGTTGATAATCTAGTACTGAGCTTGAATTCATAGAATCTAGCTACCATAAAGGAATATTCATGAGAACAATTACTATGAAAGTATTTATAGAAAAGGTACAGGGAAGCTACATTACGGCGGTGTGAAAATGAGTGAAAACAAGATGCCAGTTCCTGACCAGTGATATTGCATCCGTTTTCTTTTATCAAGGATCTCTAAATATATAGCTAAAGCACGAGAACGTGTGGCAGCAATATTCAAAGAAATTTCCTTGTTTTTTAATGCATAAGTAGTGAAATTATATGTACTGGGTATATATACACACACACACACACACACACACACACACACACACACACACATATATATATATATATATATATATATATATATATTGTCAATGATGATGTCCCGGTATATCCTTCCTCCACCCTCTGAACGGACTTTTCTATTTAGTATAGTGCTGACATATAATTGGTTAATCAAGTCATACCCACAAGTCTATTTTTTAATTAAGTCTTTTGCTCCCACCTTAACATCTGGAAAAGAGGTAACACTTTGTTTTTAAATTTCTTTAAAATCATTTAACCACCAGTTACTTACCATCGCCTGAAGAAGTACGATCATCGTATTGAAACATGAAAGCTTTCGTGTAGCGATTTCAAAATGCTTTTATTATAATAGCTTATATATATATATATATATATATATATATATATATATATATATATATATATATTCAGAAATAAGTTATTCCCAAAAAAATTTCGCTTGAAGATAGAACAGAGCTTAGTACTTTAATTCAATTTAATTCAAATAATTATATTGAAGTTTTGGCTCTTCTTTTGAAACACGAGAACTCTTATGTAGCGTGTTGGAATCATATTTTTAAATAAATAATTATATTTATGCTCTACTTTTGTATCAAGCACTATTTTCTACGAATAATAACACAAATGCTAAAGAACTTTGGATTATTTACCTAACGAGTTCTTTCCTATTTTCTATATATTTTTCACATATATATATATATATATATATATATATATATATGTGTGTGTGTGTGTGTGTTTGTATGTGTGTGTGTGTGTGAAAAATATATAGAAAATAGGAAAGAATTCGTTAGGTGTATGTGCCCTCATCATGTATAAATGTTGAAGCGTATGTGCATGTGTGTAATTGTTTATATATAAGTTAGAGGCAATCCCAGTGTCCGGTATCTTTAGAAAATCTCTAAAACACATACCACTTCTTGTGACTAAAATTACGAAGACAGTACGGTTACGAAGCCGTTCATGGTTATGTTAACACGATGTCAAAAGTAACCGTGACCGAGGATTTGGACGTACAGACATTCTTCAAACTACTGAGGTTGACAGATAATGCTCTCATTCTCGCACAGTTGTAGTACAAACCACAGGTGGATTCTGTGGGTATTGCACAACAGAAAATGTGCCTGAACAGGCGTCTGCGACATAGACTGACTCCTCGCCCTAACGACAGGTGTGCTCAGTAAACGAGAGTAGATGGTCTATATATATATATATATATATATATATATATATATATATATAACATCATATATATAACATCCTGCATACATATTTTTGTGCGTGAGCATTATAAAAGATGAACAATTACATGAAGACACAAAGACAGAAAAATCAGATGTGTACGTCATTTTGTGTGTGTTCTTATGTGTGTACCTATGTATGTAGGTAATTGGCGTTGCTGACTCCGCTTTGAATTGGTGTCCCCGTTCATTAATAACTGGAGCTGAAAAGAGACAAGTAGAATATGTCTGTCCTGTTGTCAAAATGTTACCAAGCTGACAAATTGACTGGCCTGCAGAATGAGGTAAATTAGGTGACATCCGACGCTCCCATCTCCCCAGCCTGATATGTGATAGTTACACCCATATCACTATCACCCCACCCCACAAACTCCTTGGACGCACGCACACGTATATATATATATATATATATATATATATATATATATATATATATATATATATATATATATATATATATATATATATATATATATATATATATATATATATATATATATATATATATATATATATATATATATATATATATATATAAATTTGAAATGTTAGTTGCGTACATGATATAACAATACAAATGTTCTATATTTATTCGGATAATTGGACTCTCTTCTTTGTGTCTTCTTTGTGTAATTGAGAATGCAACGTTCCGACGAAAAACGTATGTCCAATTGATATGGAATATGGAAAGAAAACGACTGGGTTAAGCGTTGCTCAAATTTTGGCGCCAACTTAGAATTTTTCAGAGGAATTCAACGAAATATTCGATTTTGTAGATAATAGTAAAAGTAACTGTTGAGTTTCCTTATAAGGAAACATTCGGCACTCAATACGGTCATATAGCGTTGAAACATCGGTTCTCGTACAATCATCGAAGATAAACAACGTCTAGTCTGGTCAGTTCGTAGATGGGTGACCACTTGGGAATACCAGGTGCTGTAAGCTTGAATGTGCGCGTGGTGTGATAGATAATGGCTTGGAATTATTAATGGAAAAACAGAGTTCCGATTTCAGTTGGGTTTATATTTACTTACCCATAAATACACTTGGTAAAGGTATGAATATGTCTCTTCTCCCAGCTATGGGTTAATTAGTAACGTTTGTATCACTAAATCATTATTTTTTTTTAAATCTGACATTCTAAAAATGTGTTCTGGCTTTAAATAACCCACGAAGAAAATCTGTAGAAAATGAATCAAAAAATTATTGACCAAACAGCCGGTGCTGCTTTTGACTGAAATATATAAAATCTACACCTTATTTTTCTTTTTTTACAGGAAAACAATTTTCTCAAATCCAGTAGCTGTTATAGCTCTTTCTAATACTGATTGTGTTTTACTGCTTTGGCTTTGGTTTGAAAGAGTGTGTCATTAATAACATCTAGATGATGTCATTATTTTCTCTTCGAGTTACATGTACTATCCATTTTAGTCACTGCTTCAAGTGATATGGTTTCTCTTATTTGGCACATTTCTTTGTTAATGATTCCGTAGTACCTCCCCGCAAGATAGTCCTCGCTAAGATCTACAGGCCTCACTCACTAAAAGCCATTTTTTAGGCATTGATCTGAGAAAACGATTGCATAGAGACGATATATTTTAACATGATTGGCACCATGCATGACCCCCATATGAAAGTCTTGATCTGGCGAGACTATTTAAGAACATGAGCTTTTAGTCTAGATATTGCGAAATGTAATCGTATGCATCAATGCAGCCATAAGAGGCAGTGACGTTCTAAATTACTGTAAACAAAAATATTAATATTAAAATATATTATTACCGGGCTTCTTGAATCATTCTCTTACTTATTATAACTTCGTCAGTGTTCTTCCCGGTAGAATCATTAGAAATATTATTATCATTTATTTTTTATTCCAGCCATTATTATCAATGTCGTTATTTCTTAAATGGTATGATAATAATGCAATGATATGACAAATGAGATGTCATTCTACGTATCTTCTTTCCATACCCCATCAAAATTTTCGGGCAGTGTGAGACAGCAGCAGACAAGCACGCTAGAAGATCGCAAAGCCCCCATCAAATTGAAATCCTATGTTTATGTCATAAGATCCCGTAATCTTTTCGCTATCATCCTACAAAGAACAACTTTAGGCAAAAGAAGCGTAAATGGGCTGCCAGAGTCACCGAAAGGACTGGTTGATCATTCACAGAGACTCAGCTATTGGCATGCAACTGAGACATTCAGAGGGAGCTGGTCATATGATCAGTCTCGCAGTGACCCTACGACTGCACTCGGTCATAAGACTGATAATAATAATGATGTATATGATCTGCAAGCAAGAAATTGCCACATGAATTTTTACTATTCCTTTATTTTATTTTTCCCTTATACATTGTCCTATATATATATATATATATATATATATATATATATATATATATATATATATTTCATCGAATAATTCAGACAAGTTTTGTTTACTTATTTTCAATTGGATCCTTTTATATTCACGGACAAGCCTTTTAGTGTCATCATTAAAGGAAGAGAGAAAATTACCGCTTTGATACATATTATTTATTCCAAGTACTTTCGACATTAGCACAACATTATCATCAGGACAAATATTGTAGTGTCCATCATTTTCAAATACAAAATTGCTTGTGTTCATCTGAAAGTTTTGTTTTACTTGTGAAGTGAAGAACGGTGAATTGAGTGCTGTGCGATTGACTTGAGTAACGCTTGAGGGAAGGTAACTGAGTTATGGGGTGTCAAGAGTTTCATATATTTATATATATATATATATATATATATATATATATATATATATATATATATATATATATATACAATTTGAAAATAAAAAATAAAAAATTAAAAATTAAAATCATTAGACACACTGGGTTGTAGATTAATATTCTTTCGTTTTTTTATTATTATTATTCCATTTAGATTCCTCGACTAGTTTCGACCGAAATGGCCATCATCAGGAGGAGAAATTAAATATTTCTGCTTGCTGTTAGCAGTGAACTACAGAAATGAATCAAATACGATTTAATCCTTCTATACTGAAATATATATATATATATATATATATATATATATATATATATATATATATATATATATATATATATATATTCAATATAGAAGGATTAAATCGTATTTTATTCCTAAATGCCAAGAAATGGTAGAGACATTTCAAGATTATTATCACTATGAAATTTACCAGATTAAGGCAAACTCTCATATCTGTTTTCATTTTTGACTGTATAATCCTTTGCAAAACAATAAAATGTTTACTGTCCTGCAAGTTTAAACCATTCGATCCATAACAATTTTTTGAACTTCATGAAACAAGACTAGAAACTTTCAATTTAAAAATCGCCATCTTTATTTATGAAATTCTAAGCTTTACTCGACGCAATTACCCTTTCAAGTTTAATATTAATATCTTCCTTCCTGTCATTGATAAAGGCCATTGAATTGTATCTGGAAGAGGAGGAAAGAGAAAGGAGATGTTTAAAAACATAACCACACTCCTCCCCCTTTCTCTCGGTGTACTGATGAATGACGATTCGTGTTTAACGACTTCCGGTAACGTCAAACGAATTAGGAATCAACGCGAAATATTTCAAGGTAGGAAATTTCATGGGAAGTATGTAAAAAAAAGCAAAAAAAAAAAAGCCAAAGAACTACCAAGCAGTACCCAACTTCCTCTTTTTTTTTTCCTCAAGTGGAGAGGCGCTTTTTTATGGTTGGTAGGGTCAAATGCATTATTGGATATTAATAAGAGTGTTAATCAATCAATATATTCCCTACGCCAGATTCTTTTGCTGTGTTTTCCGTCGGAAGTAATTTTTCCAGCAGAGGATTTGCTAGCTTCCCACATAACCTGTTTTTAAGTCAGAATTGTCGTACCCCTTGAGTGGTTACTAACCAAAGCTAGACAGTTCCGTCTGCTCTACTATTTAATCCCAGTCCTAGGTATGACGATAAACTACATCCAGCAGCAAGGCATCTGATCGTAAGATTGGAGTTTTCAGGTGCGTGGAACCACTTCTTAATTGTTGTTGTTCCCAGGTCCCCTCTGACTCGGGGTGGTACCATCCGTTAGGGTCCCAGCTATAGACCCTCAACCCTCAAAATAGTGAACCCTCAAACAAAACACTATGAAAGTATAAAAATACATTTTTGTATAAAAATGCAAGCAATACATTTTTATATGAAAAAGGACCAACAATACACATTTATAGTAAAATTACCAACAATACATTTTTAAAACAAAATAACCATCAATATATTTTATCTGTAGTCGAAAATATACATATATATAGTTGAAGCCATAAAATGTGTTCAGACTATTTATATCTCGGCGTAAAAATAACCCATATAGGATGATATGCCGCTAGAACAAAAACAACTATTTAATCCATAGCTGGAGGGAGAAGCGATGTATGTGAATGCAAAGACACTGACTAGAAGTTGAAGTTAGTACGCTAGTCCCATTTTTATCGCCGATAACCGCTATGTTGCTCGCTAATGTACAATTCTTTTGAAGAACATATAGGGATGAATTTACTTTGCAAAATTTGTTTATATTATTAGTAGAAAATTTTAATCATATAGTTTTATAAAGTTCTTCGACTGTAATTAAATATACTATTTAGATTATTGTCACCATCTTTGTTTAGGATTTCAATTATGGATCAGTCATAACAAATTTAGTAGAGAAGATAAGGAAACTGAACCTTGAATACGCTTCCCTGGGGGTAGTTTCATCCAGAACTGTAAATTTCTAGAAAAAAAAAATTAACCTAAAAACTCATGTTCTTAAACAGCCTGCTCAGCTCGAGACTTTCATCTGAATACCATTCATGGCGCCAAACACGTTCAAAAATATCTAAATTGCCAACTGTATATAACCGTTTTCTCAGATGAATGGTTAAAAATGCCATTGAGCGGATGAAGCCTGTAGACATTATCGATGACTATCCTTCTTTGAATCTCATCGAGTGGCGCTAAATAATCCCGAACAAAGAAATCTACCAAATATCAGAAAACTACATCGTATGCGAACTTTAAGCACCAACTAAAATGGATGTCACATGGAACTCCAAGAGTAAATAGTTACATAATCAAGATGTTGACGTTCCACACGATTTCCAACAAAGGGTTAGGAAAAGGAACCCCATCAATAATTGAAGTGATACGAGTTAATGAACTTGAGAAAGTGATTTTTATGAAAAATTCTTTTAGCAGAGAGATTTTATGAATTAATAAAACGTCAAAGTTATAAAGAAATAAAGTGAGAAAAGTAAAGGGAGAAAAAAATGTAGAAATAAAAGAAGGAAAAAATGAAAAATACTTGAAAGAAAACAGAAAGAAAAAAAATATCAAAAGAAAAGGAGAAAGCAAATTTAGAAAATTAATAAGGAAAAATAAAATTGAAAAGAGCGTCAGAAAAAATAAAATCACGAATGATAATAAAAAACGTACAAGAAAGAAAGAAGAAAAAAATCAAAGACAAAAAAAAAAATCAAAGAAAGAAAAAGTCAAAGAAAGAAGAAAGAAAAATCAAAGAAAAAGAAAAAAGAAAGATCAAAGAAAGAAAGACGGAAAAATCAAAGAAAGAAAGAAAATCTAAAAATAAGAAAGAATGAAAAATCAAAGAAAAAGAAAAAAGAAAGATCAAAGAAAGAAAGACGGAAAAATTAAATGAAGAAGAAAGAAAGAAAGAAAGAAAGAAGGAAAAATTAAAGAAAAGAAAAAGAAAGAAAAATCAAAGGAAGGAGGAAAGATCAAAGGAAGAAGAAAGAAAGAAGGAAAAATCAAAGAAAGAAAGACGAACATATCAGATATAAGGAAAAATGAAAAAAAAGAACGACAGAAAATAAAAGAAAAGGGAAAAGGAAACTTTTTCAATTTTGAATAAAAAATAAATGTAGTAAAAAAAAAAGATTGCTATACAGAAGAAAG